AGGAATTTCGCCAAGATTGATTTCGCCGCATCTGTACTACCGTCCCAGTAAGGGCACTTACTATGGAGTTGCATGCACACACATCGGTGCTGGTCGGAACCTGTAAATTTTGGAAGAAACTGGAGATGTCATTGCACACGGGGGAAGGAACATGGTTATTCCTGTTCAGCCCTCCATTATTGACATGCGTTGGGCAAAAAAACTGAAATCTTGAAGCTGACAACGGCGCCGAGTGGATCGATTTGTGGAATTGTTTAAAGCGGAGTTACAAGGGAGTCCTTCAAATTAGAGGATCGATTTGAAACTAAAGATATGGCGCCTATAACATACACCAGCAAGAGTGCCAGTCTAGATGTCTACGTATAGGCAAAATTATTGTATTTTTAATGAGCTTATGTCATCAACCAATGGTCAACAAAATCTGTGTCGACTACTGTCCATACAACAGTTGCCATGAACTTACACAGTTTTTTAAATCAATTTCAAAACTGCATGCTTGACGACAAGCAATACGCTCAATGGCACTCAACCAACGCAAACATCCATGGTTCTGTTTTTCCACGTTGACAACACCGTCTCTCTAATGATCATTTGTCCTCCCCCCTCCCCCCCCCGTTCCTCCCCTTCCAAATCTGAGACGCATTCCAGCATCGCTAGATACGCACGAATGGCATTGCTATATAACAAGACCCAAACCATTTATTTGTGCACGTTCGCTCTTCACTCATGCAGACGGATTTGTGTTTTTCTATCAGACAGTCCGTCGATGCCAGTGGGGCGGCCATGTTTATTAGTCTACGCGACCATCCATCATGCATGCGCGTGACACTTCAATTTGAGCGCGGGTCCGCGCGGAATAAGACGGGGCAAAAGCTGAACCTTGCCCGGTCGCAAATTTCGGCGTTCAGCCCGTGATTGAATCACGTACTCAGAGAAACATTCGGTGGTTTTTCTTGTCATCAGTTAGGTATCAGGTTGAATATCTCCGTGATGACCGTATAACATTTTGCCTGGATGATTTGTGGTCATGGCGAATGTTTTATTCATTGTGCTATTAGGGAAGACATTAAAAATCATTACATGCTCAATTAAACGGTGCTGGGGCTTTCGCAGGATAATGGTATCATTTCTGTGGTTGCTAAGTGATTGTCTAGTAACATAGTATTGGCTCTGGCGTCGTGATAATGTTCTTGCAGGTTTCGAATTACACACGTTTCGTGATTACGCGGGCATTTCAATTATTTGTAGCGCCGTAAATCAGTGATCTGACTAGGGTACAGATTTTTGACGTCTAGTTTGGATCGGTTTGCACGGAATGTGATGACAAAATGCACAGAGGAGGATCAGGGTTATGGCAACGAACAGGTTATGGTGAATGTACCAATAAATGGTCATTATGATGATAACGCCAAAATTATAATGATGGTGACGACTGGCAACAAGCAAACACAATGGTCAAAAAATGACATTGTATGGTAATGGCAATAGTTGAGGTGATGATGAAGTTTCTTACGACGACGACAACGGCATAGTCACCAAAGGCGAAAACCGTGGTGACACGATTACAGGAAGTGGCGCGCATGCCAATGACAAGAATGGTCTGGCGAGAAAAGCGGGGAAAATCTTTATCAAAATTCCTTTTTGCGAAACTGATAGATATTTTCTTTCTCCTGTCAAACTTGTTTGGAAGTGTTCGCATATCAACCCAACGCTGGAGGGCCACCGGTACGGCGCGCAAAGGTTCGCGGCATCACGTGACATGTCAAAGGTCACCGAGCCACAATACCTTCAAAAGACACCGCCCCTCTGAAACAGAAAGTCGACATAAGATCCGACAACGGGAACAGAATAACCGAATTAAGACCAATCACCGTTCATAAATAAACAGCCCGACTAGTCGTATTTTTCTTTCCAGAAGACATTAAAGACCTCTTTGGAATGTGTCACTTGAACCCGCCGTGACCTCTGTTAGGCCGATGGATTGGGCGAGTTCACGTTCAAGAACGCTCGACATTTTTATACATGTTCCGGGCGCATTCTTAAACCGACACCTAATCCACTAACGGGGCCATTAGTAGATAGAATTCCGCGTATTTTTTCCCAGCTCCACAAATCAAAACAAGGTCATTTTAGGGATCAAGTTTTATCGTGCTTGTCTCGACCGTTTCAAAGTCTCGTCTAAGCTCTTCTTGACGTATTTATGTGCCAAAACCCACGACGACATTATGTGAGCAATAAAACGGGCGATATAAACAATCAATATTTGCGAAATGTTGCATCAAGGGCCGGTAAAGATTCATAAATTTTAATCATGAACCTGCTCTGCGGTTTTTGACTGTCAGATTATTTTCAAAATCTGCAAAAACAGTTCTGAGTTGGGTAGCTGTGGTGTGAAGGAATGTCTCTGCGGTATGCAAAATATATCAACAAAAACTCAGTACAATTTAATTTCTCACTTATTTGGTTGTTGAACATAGGCGTTAAATATGTGCGTCACGTGACGCATGGGGCGCTGTATTCAATGTGGACGAGCTGGACACCCATGTAGTACTATAGGTGGCGCTATTTTTATGGTGATTTTATAAGTTTCGGCCATTTTGGCGTCTCTACCGACAAATTGAAAACGTCAAAAAAAAGTCAAAATCCTTGTAAATGTTCACGACTTTGATTTTCTTTTTTAAAGGAATTGAAGGCACAACGATCGAGGATGCATACTTGTCTTATAATAGTAATGCACGGTGTGTCGAATCTACAAGAAACTCTTGAGGGCGTCCTGCTTCAATAAAATGGTGACATTATGTTTGCGTACTGACTGAATTGTAGTGTGGCAGTACATCATGTGCTGTCAACATGCAGTTGATCCATATTGATGGCTGGACCTGACCTTTCCCATTTTGACCCCCATCTAAAGCTTGGCACTATATAACTTCCTCATCAGTTTGCAAGAACAACATGGTATTAATGGAGGGATGAGTTCCTACCAACACCAATAGCCTAACTGGGCGCCAATTCAAGCCCAACATCAAAGATCATGTAGGTTATGACGTAGTAGTGGGTGCAAGTTTGGCTGTTCTTAAGTCAGTTTACACTATGACGGTTTAAAATGTAAACCTGATTCCAAGAATGGACTTCCTCCATGGAACAGAAATGAGGTTAATGTACACGAAGGTGATGATGACTTTTTCCGGTGTAGGAGTCGTCGAAACTGTCATCCCGGGTCAATTAAACTAATACTTACCACGCGTTTCGGGTGTGACACACAACAAAAAGTTATCCACATGTTATGCACGATACAACGAAAACACCAGAACATCGATTAATGTTGGCATAAATATGAAAAGTGAGATTAACAGAATTTAGATCTTCCATGCCGCAGTCACAGCCGCACAAGTAATTGGTACCAGGTAACATGTTTCACCAAACTTTGTCATGGTGCTACGTCAGAGCTATGTTGCAAAACCTCGAAAGCAACATCCACAGACACCAAAAGGCGGGCACTGCACTCTGGAGATGGAAGAACTGTTCCGTGCGAAGGATCCGGGGAGAAGGGGGGCTTAACCTTGAGGAAGTAACAGCGCCTTGGACCTCTTGGTAAAGATTGATTGTCGAGTAGTTCTTATAGGCCAAGTCACATCAAGTTTCAGTGTTTAGGCCTATAGTCCTGTCAAACTTGACGGATAGTATAGGGTACAAGTGAAGACCATAATGTGGATGTTGACTGTGGTAGGAATTAGCGTTTTACCTCATAAAACGTCAACTTATAGTTCTCTTTATAATGTATATGTATTTTACCCTGGCACACAACGTTTAAGCAGTAACTATAGTAGCTAACCAAAGCATAGGAAAAGTAAGACTGCATGGAAGTCATTGAAAATAAACAACACGTGTTACCACACGTCAAATAATAAATAAACAATAGAGGGCGGTATTCAAGAAAAGTAGGCGATGCGAACTTGGACTTTGGAAGTCAAGGCCTATTGAAAACAGTAAGTTTCATAGTACTTATGCAAGGCTTTATCTACAGTAAGTTAATGTTAGTGCAAAATAGACTGTTTCAAGACTAAGTTAAAAAAAAAAAAAAACCTGCATCTTTAGAAGTATTGTTGATGTACCCTAACGTGGCGTGGCCCCAACGTGGCGCACTTTGATTTTTCGCCTGTAGCGCCTACCTAGAGCAAAAGTTTTAACTGAAATTTCACAGGAAGTGAAATTTCATCAAGTTCCAAACACTCCTGTTCATAAATCGCGAGTTTATTTACCCGTAACCAAGTTAGAAGAAAACATTATTTTGGAGTGATTTTCCGATTTTATTTTCAAGTGCAAAGTGAACCCTTTGAAAATGCCCCGAAAAAATAAGAAAATAATTTCCTGACAAACATCTGGCTGGGTATGTAAGTAGAGATAATAATTGTTTATCAAAATTTATCAAGTTTACAGAAATTCTTAAATGTTAATTTGGAATTTTCCGAGATTTATTTCAGTGCGCCACGTTAGGGAACACTCCGCCAATTTGTGCCCAATTTCCGGACGCCACCGTTTTTGAATTTCAGATTAAATTTTATGAAACCGAAATTGTTCACAGAGGTTAAATAGCAAGCATTAATAAGGTAAAAGTACGAGTATTGTACTGCATGAATTTGAGGTTTGTCAACAAAGACGTTTGGCAACAGTACGTACGACTACGAGGAAAGTCGGGTAAGCTTCGAAGTGCATCACGTTAGGGAACACGACCATCCACGGCCGATGGTGGCGCATTAAAACTGTCATGAACATGTGAATGCGTGTGTGGCGATGATTATATTTAAATAAAAATAAAAGAAATAGGTGGTGTGATTACAGACCACCGTACGAGTGCATTGTGTTCGAGTAAAATGATAAAATCCCATTGTTTCGACAGTGTAAACAAGCGCACAAAAAGTGAACACGTGCGACGAGCATGTAACATTGACCGTACCATGACCGTACCATGACCTGTTATGCATTGTGTGTGTCTGGCATAATCGCTGCTTCCCGGCCATGCGTGTAGATGAGAAACAGTAGCATACGTTTGGAACCAGCGACGAGGACCAGCCAGCTCGATCAGCTCGGAAGGCAAGATGGTAGCCCCTAGTAAAATATGGAAAGTTTGTTCGTGTTACGAGATGTGCCATTGCTGGAATCCTTCCTGCATCGGGGCATCGTGGGACATTGCAAAGGCCAGCTACAAATTCTCGTTCCGGACGTATGTCATATTTTATACGGTGAGTTTGTTGTTGAATAAAGCTGGAAACCACCACCTAAGGTATTTAATTATGTACATAATTTTCCTTTACCAGTAGCACTATTCAGGCTTTTTCGTGTATGGTACTTTAAAAATACAAACGGGCTACAATTCCCACAAATGACATTGAATGTCCCCCAAATTCAGGATTGTCAAATTCAGTTTGTGTATGCTTGGCCCCACTGCCACAGATAAAGTTTGCATTTGACATCTTTGAAATAAAGAGGTTTTGAAAAAAAATGTTGCAACCTGACGCCACTTCCACAATTGTGTACAAAGTCTATGGAAAGTCAAGAAAATTTTCAGTATATCCTAACAAAATTGAAAATGTTTCTCAGTCCCAGATTTATGTCTTATCATCAGTTTCGCAATGAATTACATTAATTGAGATGATATATGAAGAAAAAAGTGGCGTCAGGTTGCAACATTTTTTCCGAGGATTTATACAACTTTTTGGGGTTTCGAAATGGGCCTTCACTCTTTTTTTTTGTACGGAGGAAAATTGACTTTTGCATTTTTAGATGTCGAGTATGCATGTAATTTCCAAGAGAATTTTGACTTGAGAAATTTTGGTCTCAAAATTCCTTCTAGAAATCACACAGAAACCAAATACTTCGGAGTGCCCAAGTTGATATTCCTGTGTAAGTTACAACAGTGCAGTGAAGTTACATGCTGCAAACAGTGCAGTGTTTAACTTTAAGGGAAAGTTTGCGAAACAGTGAATCATTATGAAATATTCTGTGAATATGATTTTACGATAAAGCTGTACATGTGTAGTTCATTTGTCATACCACCATTAAATTTGTCACATCAGTGGAAGTTCAATTGATAAGGTTTTTTTTTAATTATTGGTTGATTGATATTTTTCCCTCTTTCTTCGAAGATTTCGACCCTCATCTTTCATAAAGGCATCCCCGATGTACGGAAGCTCATAGTGGACATCCTGCGCTCCACCAACTTTCTGGCCTCCAATGCCATCCTGTTCATGTCATCAATATGTGTCTTCAGGTATTTCAACAAAATGAACACCTTACACATAAAAAATATCAAAGTCGGAGTCTATAGTTTACCAAGGCCATGTAACACTCAATAGTCTATTCTAATGATACGTCCTTTCCTATTGACACAACACCAATTGATACACACCATATTACCATAGTAAAGGGTATGGCTTGGCATGGGGCAGTCAACCAGTCGAAGCTGGCTCTTTAATTGATTAATTACATACAATAATTATACAGATATTCAATGCAATTCATTAACAAACTCCTCGGAAAGAATGTTGCAACCTGACGCTGTTTTTTTCTTCATATATCATCTCAATGAGGTCAGTCATTGCAAAAATGATGATAAGACATGAATCTGGGACTGAAAAACATTTTCAATTTTGTTAGGAAATGCTTAGAAAATTGTCTTGACTCTCCATAGACTTGAAGTAGCGTCAGGTTGCAACATTCTTTCCAACTCCTCTAAAAAAAAAAAAACAGAGATAAAACTCAATGAGCAAAAACTCTGGAAAACTTTGTGGCTGCCACCAAAACAAAACATTTGTAACATTTACAGAAAGCTATTTTTTAAAGCTGATCCATTCTGAATTTGTTCTTGACTGAACTGAAGTTGCAAGCTAGAAAGATCCCACCACACCTTCGCCTCGGTTCTATGCACATTCTTTCTTATGCAAATTTGACACGCCCTTTCTACCATTACGTAACACCGCCTCGGAATTCATTCCTCAACTGATTAGCAACATTTTGCCTGCTATCCACTCCGTTCACAAGTACCCCCTCACCGGCAAAGAAAGTACAGTTGGGGGTGACCGATTGACGCCATCTTGCCTGACTGCAATATTTTGCCGCGAAGTGCAGCCACTGCGTATACGTAGTACAAATCTGCTGGTGTAAGTGCGTCACACACAAGGAACGGTGCGCGCGTCAACCAGCGAAATGCGTGTCCCGCCCATGGGTATCGTTGCTGGATAAAAGGGCACCCTCTTTTGTTGGCGCACGGAGCCCATACAACCGTAACGCAGGCAAAGATAATTCCTTACTGTTTCTTTTCTCTGTTTGTTGTTCGTCCAGGCGGTTACTTGGTCGTTTCTTCGCTTGGTTCGTTTGGGGGCCTGCGTGCGTAGCCTCAGGTATAGCCATTTCAATGGAGAAGAAAAGTCGGTAAGTCACTTTGGAGTTTCGCTAGTGGTGTGCGTTTACAGGTTGTACGGGAACCGGGTACCCCATTGGAGTAAAATATGGGTACCCGAGTACCCGTAAAAGAAACCCAACCCCAAAATTCAAATGTCCCGGAAGTTTTCCGAAGGACTTAGGGGCAATTCCACGGTAACGGAAGGACGTTTTCACTCATTAAACAAAATTTCAAATGTGTGTATCACAGACACTGTTCATAGTTACAGCAAACAAATGTCACAATTGTATTGCTATAATGCTACCTTCAATTTCCACACTTTTGGGGGGCATGAATGCCTCCCGTTTATGAATTATGAATATTAATGAGGTCGGTAACGGAAGGACGGTAAAACGGACAAGGGTTTTCCAACTTACTCGCGTTTTGCGTAAACTCTGTGAATTTTATGGGGCAATTATATTTTAAAGGTAGGAAATGGAATCCCTGAAGCTTTATCTATACTATACTGCCTTTCATTTGACTTTAAGTGTTTCGGTAATATAATTACAACGTTTTAAGCAGATTATAATTTGGTAACGGAAGGACGGTAACGGAAGGACAAAAGGTTTACTCAATTATAGCATGAACAAAATGTGAATTTACACTAATTATACAAGTGAAACAAATTGCTGAAATGTGTAACTGAATGTGAAATCAACAATATGCAGACCTGGCATAAATAATTATACCCAAAAAACTATTGAGATAAAGATAGATGCCTGCTAATTAATGATAACAAAAGAAATACGAAAACAACCCAAAACACATAATTCACGAACACAAGACAACTACAGAAATGGACTTCAAACCCATCACCTCAATCCTTAAAAGTTTAAATACACAGTATTTGAACACTTGAGTATATTGGTTACATGTTCACCAACAACTTTTAATAATAATACCGGTAGGTTCAGTGGTTTACCTAAAGGGTTGGGGGGGGGGGGGCGACCAGCCTACATGTACATTTAAGGTAAAAACATCTACCGGTAGAACTGATGGCTTCAGTTAGGTGTTGCTTTTAATTGAACTCTAAAATCAATGTTTGAAAGCAAATTACAATGATTTAGAGTAGTAACAATTAATTTATAAACATCCAAACTGAAATTGTTAACTTGGGCATAATTTGTCAAAGATTGCACCTCACATGTCTTACACATGTAAATTGAATGAAAGTGCCCCAAAGTACCGGTACTTTCTGCCATCTCATTTATGACTTAATTTGCTTCTGGAATGGCTTCACAGAATTCATATCTTTCTCTATTGTCCATGAATGCTGATGGCAGCAACTTTATGATTTGATTTTCTGCAACAACTCCATACATGTACAAGTACTGGTACATCGGCATATATGTACATGTACATTGTACATGTTGTACATGCCTGTACCTTCCTTTGTAATAAACACCTTGCCCTTCTTATCCTGCTTTTGTGAAGGTGGGTCACATTAATGTCCTTTCAATGCTCATTATACATGCATGTATTTGCAGTGATTTTCATTTTTCAAACATGAGCGCAAATGTCGTAACATTTGATAAAAATACGATTTGTCCTTCCGTTACCGTCCTTCCGTTACCAAGTTGGTAACGGAAGGACGTGATTTAATTAATTGTAATTAAAAAACGAGAAGTACAGCAGTGTCAGTTATAATGTCATATTGAAGGCCTACCTAAACTTGCTTTGCACAATAACTTTCAATGCATTCATACTGCAAGTTTTAAAAATAAATTAAAAATATGTATTTTTTCGGTAACGGAAGGACATTTTCGAAGGCTGAAATATTAGAAGTCACTGAAGCGAAACAAATTACGCAAAATGTTAAAAACAAGTTTTAGTCGGTTTTTCAAGACCAATACTTTCTCATGACAGAAACTGATGGCATTAGTACATATTTTTGTGTGTGTATTGGTAGAATACTTTCATATCACTATTAATCACATTTTTAGGATTAAAACAGGATTATTACATAATCCTATTTTTTGGTACCGAAATGTATAAAAATAAAATTCCGACTTCAAATCTTGAAAATATAGACTTTTAGCTTTCATTTGATGCCAAATTTGTTTAAGTCACATGTATTTGAATTTTTTGGTGTCATGTCCACTTTGGTGTGGAATTGCCCTTAGCTTTACAGTGTAAACTGCAACCGTCGCAAGCGTCATCTGTCGCACGTTAAAATGATTCTTGTACTAAAAGAAAGCTAATGAATTGGGCTTTCATATCCTAGATTTTCAAAGTGCTACATGCAGAACTTCATTAAAACAATAGTCCCGACATTTGGGCTTCGCATTTTTTGCGAAGTGTACCCTACAATAAGTACCCAATGGAAACGTTGTTGAAGTACTTTCTTTTTGGCATAGTCTGTACGATTTCATGGAACTGCCTACCAACCAAACAGGCATATATCATGTACACCGCTTGTGACTGGTTCCCGGCAGAGTAAAAATGCACCCATGTAGCCTGTTTTTCAATTTGAATATTGTCCACAAATGGCATTCAAAACCTTTCGTTTTCATTGTCTGAGAAGTTACTAAGTAATTTTGTAAAGTTGGTTACGGGTACCCGATCCCATAATCTGGAACCGGTTACAAAGGAATTCTTAACTGTTAAAAACAATCATTTGATTGATTTTGAATACTGTGATGGCATAGCTTAAGTCCAGAGAACAAATAAAATATGAATGCCCTGGTCATATTTAATTAAAAAGCTTGGCTAACAGTTAACACATGTATTGGTTATTTATGACTAATTCAAATTTATATTTTTTTTATTTCAGGAGGGCTCCGTTAGCGCTCTACATGGTAACACTGGTGAGTTTTATGACACCGTGGTGAATGCTGGGCATTGCATTTTTGTTAAACACCAATTCAGCAACAGCTTTTTTCTGAGGTGGCATCGGGCTCGCGTGAATCGCGCTCAGGTAGTACGCAGGCACTCTGGACTCCTTCAACCAATAGGGTTACCAAAATACGCGCGCACCTTGTCTTTAAAGGGAATATACATCATTTGCTTTTGCTGTAATTTTCAGAAATGGATGGAATTGGGGGGTTGGAAATATATAGCAAATATAGTTACACTGACTTTTTTGAGGTTTTGGGTTCGAAAATGCTATAAAAACCGAGAAAAACAATCATTTTCCTGTAGTCTGGTTCCCTGACTCCATATAAGAAGAAACAGAGCAGTTTACATACATTGGGGAATTGTTAGGTCAGGGAACCAGTCTAGCTGGCTTGTACCTGTTCATAGGTGTGTAATCGATTGCAAACAAGTGCGATGGTCAATTGGGGCCAGTATTTGAAAAAAAAGCCATTTTTTTCCAACGCTGGTCGGCCGACCAGCGTTGGAAATTGATACAAAAATACCACTTTTCTTGAAAATGACAGTATACCAGGTGCCATGATCTTACAGGATGCTTTACACTGTCATTCACTAACAGTCCAGCAAGGTATTTCAAAATGATTTGGTAGTTTTATTTTTTGATGTTTGCAAATGTTGTATTTTCCCTTTTAAGAACACATGCGCGAATGTGGTTCTACCTCAAAAACGGCTTCTAATTTTGTTTGCCGAATTAGCCTATAAATTTATGCATCAAACGTTTACTACTTGTCGAATAGCGTTGGACCAAAGTGTGGGATTGTGTGGTATGCATGTCATTTAAACATAGAACACGCCATACGATTGAAGTTAGACGCATGTAGTATCAAATGAGTTTATTGTCTTTTTTATACATTTTTTTTCTTGTAGGCTATTGAGCTCTTGATCAACATCGTCTTATCCAGAGGATGGGTGAAACCGATCAAATATGGGGAGGTAGGTTACCATGGCAACAGGGTTTCATTCAGTTGCTTAAGTAAAAGGAATTCACAATATTACTATCGGAAATCTCAAGAGGGGAAAAATTTGTCATGGCCAGACAAAAAAAATCACATTTTTACATCAAAAACCTGATATTCCATTTTTTTGTAGAGAAATTTTGAAAGTGCGATGTATTCAATGGAGGTTAAATTTGTCACACTTTTGTTGTCTCAAAAATGGGTTTTATATTCATAAAAGCAGAATGCAATGAAGATACAGGGGCAGAATACAAAAAATAATGATTAGTTTTTAATTTAGCACAAAAACTTGTACCGTTCCATGTCTCAAGCTAGTCAACATGAAACAGCGGTGGGAGCATTTCATGACTCATTTCATCCCTAAGCATAGACTAGCAAGGATAGCTGTTCAGTCTGGCCAATCAGGCCCCTCATTCCGTTTCTCTGGTACTCGTCAACCTTGCCCCGAGACATCTCTGTAATCCCAAGCAATTCCTTGTTTGTTTTGCAAGATTGCCTGTCCCCTAATCCTTTAAGGAAAAAAACGGCATCTGTCACAGTGTCAAGACAAATCCACCCTGGTGTGGTATGACTTCAAGGGCATTGCAACAGGTTGTGATTGACATGACAGTAGAAACCCACTTCACCCCTCCCCTTCCACCCCCTCCCCTCCCCCCCCCCCCAATTTTTTTTATAGGATAAGTAAGAGCAACCATGAGGCAACTATGTACTTTGCATTGAAAGTTATAAGACAGATTCTCTGCCTGTTTTTCCTTGTGAAAGAAAATCCTGAAAACCAACCTAAGAATTTTTTTTTTTTTTTCATTCTTCTATCAAACCCTTTCAAGATACTTGAAGATAGAATAATAACAAAATAAAGAACAAAACAAAACAACAAAACAAAAGACAACAATTAAAAAAAAACATTCAGGAATGGAATGTGTTTGATTATTTTGTTCCAGGTCATGCTGTTCAGTGTATCATCAGCATTAGGACTCTTTCTGTTCAGGTAAGATTTGAATTTCTCCATTTATATTAAACCGCACTCTTTGATTGAAAATGTTTCGGACAGTTCATCTGCTGTTGTTCCTCATCATGTCCAAACACCAAATAAACATGGGCGTCGCAAGGAGGGCGCTTACCCCCCCCCCCCCTCCCCTGGACAAGCACAAAAAGAATGTCCCTACCCACCCTTGAAAAAATGATCAATCCGGAAAATGCTGGAAAATATAGGGATTTGGTGGGAAAAATTTGCTTTGCCCCCTCTAGAAAAATTCCTGGCGACGCCCATGCAAATAAAGTGGATCTTGTTTGATTAGGCGAAGTAAAAAAAAAAAATGTTTCTCATCCCCGCCCGCTTCCTTTTGGGAGGCCGCCTGGATTTTTTTATTATTTTTTATTTTTGAAAAATGTAGTAAAAAAAACACCAAAAAAGTCCACAAATTCATCGGAAAATCAATACCAATACCAATACAACTCTAAATGACACTGTAAATATGTTCAGTTCTCTTGTCCAACTTGTCTTTCGTTTTAAAAGTCTCTTTGAACAGTGGAACACCAACGGTTGCAGGAAATTTTAAAAATGGCGGCCATCTTGAAAAAAATAAAAATAAAAGGCCCCACTTCCTCCCTTTTTTCAAAAACCCCGGACGAGAAACTTTTTTTTTTTACTTCGCCTTACTTGAGACCTATTTGACCCGAAAATCCACATAGCACAAAGTCTTGCATCTGAAGCAATGAGAAAGATGCTGTAAATGTAGATACATCGTCTCTGTTAAGGTGTCAAAATTTATGGCCTCAAATCATGAGCTTGTACAAGAGCTCTCAGTGGTCAGCTCCAAAATTGAGTGCTGTGAGAGTAGAAAATCCAGGAAGCGACAGAATGAGAAAGAAGCTTAGCGATACTACCACTGTTACGGCGTCAAACACTTATTGCCACAGATCAAACGGGCCCACAGTTGACTGCTGTGAAAGGGCAAATTAATAGCCAAAAACCCACTAATAGGATTAAGACTAATCCCCTTTCATCCCACTGGCGAATCGATTCCATCATCAGTGGTTTCCGTTGCCCTGAATGCGAGAAACACTGCACCAGACATTGGCACAGCCCCAGAAGATAGATTTTAACGGTTTTCAAATCAAAAGATTAGCCAAATTAACTGTCCATTTTGATGCAGTGACAAATGGCCGAAAGTAGCGAGACCCTAATCGTGTATTGGAAAATTTAATAGGATTTCCAGGGTTAGACCTCTGGAGAGGAAAAAGTCAATAAAATCAAGACGCATTAAAACGCCCCTGTAATTAGGTTTCTCTTTGTCATCTGGACAAAACCGGAATCTGAAGGACAGTTACATGTACATGGATTAGGGCTTCAAATTTCAGATGAAATTACGGTTAAACATCAGCGATTTTCTGAACATTTACCATTTTGTCTTAACGACAAATGGATGTGCTCAAATTTCTGTATCAGTGAAAGTGTTTGACACATTTTGCATGTGACAGCTCTAAATTGATTGCGCTACATGTATTTCTGCTCTGCTAGTAACCTAATATTTGTAAAAATGTCACTGGATCTGACGATGTCTGGGTTAAAAAGTGCCAAAATAAGGAGACACACGCACAGTTTGAATTGGAAAAAAAAGGTTTTATTTGACAAACTTTAAAGTCAAATTTTACAAGAATGTTGCTTTTCATTGATAAATAAGAAACACAAATTCTAACAAAACATTTGTTCAGACGAACATCTGTTAATGAAGATGAAAATTTGTTTTCATGGAATAGGACTTGCCAATGTGGTAATAGTGATTGTTTGGCTAAAAAAGAAAATACCAGACCACCACTCCAGTTTGGTCAGGGAAAACGCAAAACCATGCCTACTTCCTGTACTTTTAATAAGAACCATTGTTGTAAGCCCATCTCATTTTCTTTTCACCCAACGCTTCTCCCCGCCTCCCCAACAGCCATTTTTACTTAACTCACCCATTTTTAATCATCACCCCAACCCGGATACCTGGCCCAATTAAGTGTGTCCTCTGGCCACTTTAAGCAATCCCCCTTGGGTCTAATCTTGGACCCTATTCATATTCAAATGATCTTCCAATCAGGGTGCCCTGGATAAAAGGGGGGAAAAATTGGGCCAGTGGTAGCTGGAGGTGAAAATGTGGGCCATTGTTGTGGACATTGGTTTTTGGGGCACGCCTGTCTGCGAATGAGTAAAACGATTGTTGAAGGGGGGAAGGGGGGAAACTAGCCGGACATTTTGTTTACATTGTCAGAAAAGCTTGAAGTTTAAAAGCACTGCTTGTAACAATCCTAGTCGTACAAAACCTGCAATTTCAAATTTCCGGTTTCCAGGCCAGCGTAGAAAGCTTCTTTGTAAACTAAGGTTTTGAGTCTGCTTTTTGCAACTCGCCCTTGAGATGTGAAATTTTTTGATAAATTTTTTAACCAACTCCCATCCCCGACTTTAATTTAGCATCCCTGATAAAAAAAACCTGGTCAGTACAGCAAACATGACTAATCAGTTTTCTTTCATTAACAACGAGGACCCCCCCCCCCCACCCCTCCATCCTTCCCCCACCCCTCAGGCAACTCCACCAACAACTGTAGACCAGTTCTTTGACGACCAAACCTGAAAACCTGTCATATTTTCAGCTGCATGCCTTTGGGTCAGAATACATTGAAACACACAAGGGGAAGGGGGAGATAGTGCAAGAGGACAATGAGAGTGGCGACAAAGACTGTTTGAAGATTGAAGCTGGTTGTCAAACTGGTGACCCAGTTTCTGGGTGTTTTAAGCATAATTAAACCTGATTTTTTTTGGGGGGGGGGGGGCATGGAGGAGAGTATAACTACATTGTTAATACAACATGATGTATAATTCTTGGCTTTTTATTTGCCGTTAAAAATTTTGACTATTTGTTATAAAATAATTTTTCACATAAATAAAAGGGTATTTAGATTGGCATGTACATGTTAATACATATCCACCAGTACAAAAAGTTAGGCTCTGAACATTGATATACATGTAGTACATACAGTTGTATAGAAACCTCTGTTTTTATGAAGTCTTACTATTGGACTACTTGAAGAGCGCCCTCTATTTGCTGCTATATTGAGTAAACTGTTTCAGTGCATCGCGTTTGCTGCCCTCTGTTGTTGAGTAAGCTGATGCTGAAAAAAAACTAAATTCACAGTAGATTGTGTTGCACCCAAACTATTTAAGACAGATAGCCAAATGATAAACTATGGAATATCTTTGTCAGTTTTGGGAAACTATAAGAGAAATTTCTCCCTTAAAATATACAAAGCTGGGTTAAAAAGAAAGATTACAAAGCGTGCATCTTACAGATGAACTGTTGCTTGGAGTCACAATTGACTCGATCCCAGCGGGGCCATGCGTACTGAGTCGCTACCTGTCGGCTGCAGTTCCCTGCGGTGTTTCGGCTGGTGCGGGTGCCCCAGTTCTCGTACGGTGTCCTTAGTTTGTCTAGCCATGCCCACAGGTTTCCAGACGTCGGGGCGATCTTGTGGTTGCCCAACCAAATGCCCTGTTCACCTGAAATGCACCACAAAATTTTTTGGTAAAACAGACAAAAATATTCACTTTTCTATTGGGCACTCACAAAATTGTATACATTATGAAATTACTTTGGCAAAGGATAAAACCCATTGTAAACATTTACATCTCTTGACGTGAAAATGCCATTATAAGTCATTGTTTGCAATTAGTGTGTTGCGATATCTGATGCAAAGTTTGCATGTCAAGTTGGTAAGACCTCTGTACTAGTGGGCTAGAAGTCGCGGGTTCGATTCCCACCTGACTAACCTTGTAAATATTTTCTCAAGCTCCTGGAAAGCAGCGAGTATAAAGTGCTTACAAAGCTACCAGGGGTGTGAAATCTCAGCTTTCAAGCTAATTTCAGCTTTTTTTGTTTTGGATTTCAGCTTTTTTCCCCTCACTTGCTGTGTACAAAAGTATAGGAGATTTCCAAAGTTCAGCTTTTTTTACGCCTTTTCCAGCTGTTTTCAGCTATTTTTATCAGTGGTCACTCACACCCCTGGCTACATCATTGAAGAACAAAATCTGACGTCAAGGTCATCAGTTTTCAAACTTGCATGCTCTCTGGCCCCCCCCCCCTTTATTTCTGCCATTCCCGTCCAGGGGAATACAAATATTCGTAGTCATTTCATGCTAAGACACTGGGTATAAATGCCATCCTGATATGGCTTGGGACAGACTTACCCTCGAATGGTCCCCGCATCTCCTTCCAGTAAGAGCTGACAAAGTCCTCTTCCTCGGCCGAGCCGATGGAGACAAGATGAGCTGTCTCCATCTCTCCCTTCGTTTCTGGGCCCGTTATCCTCTCTCCTCCCATCTCAATCTTGGTCACTTTCCCTGTCTCGGGCTTCGACTCTTTTTCCGTCTCCATCTTTACCTCGATCCCCAACCCTTGGCAGAGAGTGTACCGCTGGCACGTGGCCTCCGCCTCTTGCCAGGTCTTGGGTTGGCTGAACAGACGATAGCAGAAACTTCCGGTCTTGAGTTGGTACTGGGTCCAGACAGGAGGGCAGTAGTTGACGGCCGCGGCAGGGCCAATTGACAACGTCACAAGGACTGCCGCGAGCAGTAAGGTCCTCCCTGAGAAAAGCATCTTTGCCAGCGTTTTGAAATGAAAAATCCTCCTGTTTGATTTAGAAGACGTAAAAAATTGACTGTTTGAATTGCAGCATTTGCAATGTGGCAAAATTTGTCATGAATTTGGCGCAATGCCCAATATGCTTCACATTTGCACATGCGTGAATCAGCATTTAGGCATTTCTATAATATTGCGAAAACGGTCACCAAACTGCTGGGTTATAATGGCTAATGCATAGTTAGCATACATGTAGCTACAATCAATTTCAACAACTCATTTAGTACTAGTAGTTGGCCTCTTTATTGTCTTATTGTTTTGATATAAAAAAAAAGCAGCTTTTACTCACTGTACCACTGTAGAAAAGGCATCTTTACTACTGCAAAATTATTCCACATGTTATGGCCCATTATCTATCTGGAATGTTCTTAAACAAAAAAGAAGGAAACTTTACTACATTTCCAGAAAGCTTTGTCCAAAAAACAGTTCATTATAATTACCTTAGAATGGCCCCGTCCAATGTTCACCAGACCACAGATTGAACTGTCGTTCCTCCAACCTAAACCAGTCTTGTACCCCGTCCAACTTCACCACGACACAAGCTCTGAAGTTCTAAGCAGCCTCTCCCGAAACCACTTGAGATTTTTCTGGCAGCTTTATAAGCCAGGCGATTTACCAGATGTGCCTGTGTTGTGGTCAACAGGAGACAATCGAGAAACCATTCCAGTTCAATCAAATTGTTTGTACTGGAAGGAAGTAGTTACAGATCGCGGGACCACAGTTTTGATTAAAGGGAATATACAACGTTTGCAAACATCGAAAAACAAAACAACAAAATTTTTACCAAATACCTTACTAGGATGTTGGTAAATGACAGTCTAAAGCATCCTGTAAAATTATGGCACCTAGTGTGAAGTCATTTTCAAGAAAAGTGGTATTTTTGTATAAATTTCCAACGGTGGTCGGCCGACCACCGTTGGGAAAACCTAACTATTTTTCAACTACTGCTCCAAATTTACCATTTTGTTTCAGTCCAATTTTGTTTGCTATTGGTTACATGTTCGTGAACGGCTGCAGGCCAGCTAGACTGGTTCCCTTACCTTACAATTTTCCGGCATCTATAAATTGATCCATTTCATCTTTAGTGGAGTCAGGGAACCAGACTACTTGAACTTTTTTGGTTTTTCTTGGTTTTTTCCAGCATTTTCGAACACAAAACTTCAAACATGTCAGTGTAACAATATTTGATCTATTATACTAACCCCTCAAATAGTTCATTTCTGACAATTACAGCAAAAGCCAATGATATACATTCCCTTTAATCCATGTGCTTTTGGCACACAGAAAGTACATGCACATGTAGGCTGTTAAAAAAAGTTAGTGGGATCAAGGGTTTTATCCACCACAAGTTTTTTTTGATTGAAAACTTGCATTTAAAGTAGAAAGCCCCTTTGTGGGCAAGTTCATTATTCACCGGATGTTTTGGAGAACAAAATGCTGCTCAGCGTAGAAAAAAATAGTTTCTAGCCGAAATTTCATGTGATGTGTATTGCCTGGGACTGTTTGTCAGAACTGTGATTATTTCTTCGCACGTGAATTTCTTAACAAAATTGAAAAAGTTTTTCAATTTCAAAGGTTGAATTACACAACTCTGATTTAACAAAACTTGTTGGTTCATTATCAGAAATACTTAATGTGATGATGAATTGTAGAAATTTTGGAAGTTTTTACATCTGGGTCGATAATTTGTGCTCTGTGGTGTATGCAACCTTCTTAAAACTTCCACAAGAAATTTCTTTTTTGACCGAGTCACTTTTAAACTTTTATCTATGGTAAACATTGCAATGCAAAGGAACTTGAAGCAATGGTCAAAACAAACCCCAAGGACAGTAAAGTTTGGTGACACGATCACTGGGCACAAAAACATCCAAGGTTATACGCAGGATACAATTCAAAATCCATTTCCTTGAACTGCCGGTGGACCAGTCCACACAGCTAATTTCCACTGTTTGGTTTTTTTTCCAAACCTAAGGTTTAAGAGAAAGAAGTTTAAACTCACCACCCAATTCCAGAAAGAAAATTGTAGAAGACAAAAGTGAAAAATCTCAATTGTAGCCACCAATTGTGACAACTGTTGGACTCTTTCAGTCTCTAAAAATATGAACACTGAAATATGCCTTGGATAATTTGTCCAATCTGCTACGCTCATGGGTGGTAGATCTGTCAGTTTAACCATGTTATTATTTGAGCTGACATTTCTTCAAAAAGTCCATTCACTTGTGAAGGGTACTGAAGAGGGGGGGGGGGGCTATGGTTTAGGATTAATACACATTTAATTCTGGTAAAGGGACCATTAGATCATTTGAAATTATCTAAAATCCCATCCAGTAAACATTTGGAGGAAAAATCTTCAATATAATTATTCTGCTGCTGTTCTAATGTTCAAGGACACAATCGTTGATGCTAATTTAAAAAGATGGCCAGTGAAAAAAATCTTGTTTTTAATTGTTTTGGCATACTTGAGACTGAGCCTCAAAGTTTAAATTCCAGTTGCAGTTGGACATTAAAACTACCCAATGTTTTCGGATGTGCTTTAATAGTCCAACTTTGTACTTTTAAGTGCATTCAAAGTGCATGCCATGGTACATGATATTTATTATCAGGGCTTTTTTTTTGGGGGGGGGGGGTTCTTATTTCGCCCTTTGAAACCTAGCCCCAAATCTAGTGCCAGATTTAAACTTGTGACCCAATGAAACAGAAAACTTGTTGAGCAAAAAAACAAAGAAGAAAGTACAGGTTTTGATGGCACAGCATGGTTTGTTGGTTTGAGGTAGCGACTCGTAATTGTTCACGGCATGAACTCCCAGCATGCCACGCTGGAGCTGGGAATCCTGGAAAATAGTGCCTTGAACCCGCCTGCACCAAATACCCAGAGCTGTGCACAAATGGTTACCAGCTAAAATGTCATATGATAGACACTGCTTGTGACTGGTTCTCCGCTGATGTTTGGTTATTCCTCAATTTGCTTTGCTGTCATTTGTGGTTAGCAGAAGAAGCATAACTTGCTAAGCGGTAATTTATTTGCACTCTGTCTCTGAATTTTTTTTATTTTTGTTTGTATTTTTGTGTCTGTCACAGATACGGCAACGTGCTGAAGAATGATTCCCTCTCGGCATTGAAGTAAGTGAGAGATCCCGTTAGAATTTTTACCAATCAATTGGCAGTAACATTTGTAAAATACAGGTTTCCTACTCACCTTAGCCAATCAAGTAAGTAAGCATTGAAAGCAAGCAAGCAAGAAAGAAAGATACCAAAAAAGTAGCCAGTCATTCAATAATTGATCACTCAGTCATTGAAATCAGTCGATTGTTGACAGATACGAACTTAGTATAGAGCCCCTCCTCTGGCTTTTTAAAATGTGTTTGGCAGATATATATCTTCAGCATCCTCCAAAAATTCCAAACATTTCCAAAAGCTTTAAACATCCAAAACTCAAGTCTGGATGTCGAGCACTGTATACTTCATACCGGCTCTACACTGTCCACAGTCCCATATCCCTAAAAAATCAAATAAAAGGAAACAATGCAATTTGCAGAGCTGTGAACAAATCAATCGCAAACTCAAATCTTAAGTCAATTTTTGACAACAAGCTCTTTTGAATAGCTTGTGACTGGAATTGAGTCTGGATGACTTGTGATGACTTGTGATTGACTTGTGATGACTTATGGTTACTTGTGATGTCTTATGATGACTTGTGACTGACTGGACCACAGCTTTGTTCATTTGGTGTTTTTTTGTCTTTAAGAATGCTAGTAGGAGCGCAAGAACTGCCAGTCGAGCTTCAGCCTGATGAGGTACGACTGCCTATCGCCAGCCAAGAAAATGGTACCCAGCATGAGGGCATACAGAGAACGCAGCGGCCGACATTTATGTCAGCTCTCCAAGAGACGCTCAAGACCAAATGCTTACAGTTTGTAGACAGGTATAATCTGTTTGAATTTTTTAATGTTTGGTGGTTTTGCCCCCAATGTTTCAAGAGCACTGTTTTATCTACGGTGCTCTCTGAAAGATTTTGAGAAAAAGTTCACCGGCTATCTAGCATCTTGCTTGCTCCATGAGATGGTCTTTGGTTCGAGTCCCACCTGAGTAAACTTGTGGGTCCCCCCCCCTCCACCACAATATCTTTCTCTATTGAAGCAGTTTGTAGTTCTGTAATCTTCAGGTTAAGTATGCTTAAGTTCTAGTCTAGTGCATAATGTTGCAGTAGGGAAACGTTATGGAACAAGCAACTGTTAACTACTGTCTACAATATATACAATTCATTGTCCACTGCAGGCTCAAGTCACTCCAGAAGCATCGACTATGCCAGCATCAGTCCAGCTGCATTTACTATGTATTACAGGTAAATTAAGCCATCAGACTTTTTAAAGTGATGATGTTGAGTTTCAGCCTAATATGTCCTCTGACTGATTGACTTACTGACGGACTGTCACTGATTGTAGACTGGTGAAGAGAGCCGGGCAGTGCTGTCGTATAGGATTACCCCATAACGTAATGAATTACCACTCTGAATCAATTGAATAGAATTGTGTGCACTCTGGGACCATCTTTACTAGACTTTCCTTGCCTTGTTCATCCCTCAATCAATGCACAAAACTTTACTTTTGTTAAAAACAGAAACTGTTTTTCATCTTTCAGGCCTGTATTCGCAAGTTTGCCGTAGGCTACGCCGTGCAGGCGGCCTTAAATCTCCTGAGAGCTCTACCCAAGATAGCAACCAGGCCCGGCCTTCTACTTCAAGCCTTCGTACGCCAAGACAACTTTGGCCTAGCGCTCTTTCTCAGTCTATTTGTAGCAATTTTCCGAGTAAGTAACTCTTTTTTTCTTTTTTTTTCAATTTTCAATGTAAGGCCAAAAAAAAAAATATACGGTCTCTGGTCAGACCAAAGTTCCGGAATTGACGCGGGCACGCTGCTTTTATTTTATTTTATTTTTATTTTTTTTATTTTCTTCAAGCTTGGATTGTACAGACAAGGTGGGTACTATTTTGCTTTTTTGGTGTCCTCATGTACATTGGTGTCCTCCATAATTTGCCTTGGTGCTTTCGATCATTTGCCTTGGTGCAATTTCCCATTCCTCGGTGCTCTTTGATAAAAAAATTTTTGAGGAGGTGCGGCAATAGAGGGCGCTGTTGGAGCTACAGCGGAACATTTTGGAAAAAAAAAGATTGACGCGCATGATTAAAATCGACGCGCGCGCCGACCAGAGACCGACTAATTTTTTTTGGCCTAACAGAACATCACAGTCAATGGTTATATGGTGTGTAGTGATAAGATTGTTTGGTCATGGTTCTTGTGTTCTTGGGCAAGATACTTTACTACAATTTCCTCCCTCAATCCAGTGGTAAATGTGGGAACATGTGAGGGTAAACTGCTGCATAAAACTGGTCTTATGACCCGGTGAACTGGGGTAATAACTGTGGAGCACTTGGAGACAAATTGTATAAAGCATTATAAAGTACTAACATGTTTCTCCTGCATACTTGGTGTATTTGCAGAGCCTTAGTTGCCTTTTACGCTGGCTTAGAAACAAGGACAGCCCTCTGCATGCATTAATAGCAGGTAAGTCCACTCATATTTCAGAATAAGCTATAATTGAACTAAATTGAATGAATTGGTTGGTGCATTTTATTTGTAGCTGTGTGGCACTGTCACATTAATTGGAAGAACTTGGGATTTTAATGGTTCACTTCAGACTTTGTTTATTTTCAGAAAAGACTTTAAAGTCTTGGAATGCGTTTTTCAGTCACAGAAGTGAGATTTATTAATTTTTTTTTGTAATATGCAGGCATGCAACTTTTCCTTGGATCAGCTGATTTCCTTTTTTTTACTTCACGTGTGCCATTATAAATAGAAAAACACTGTACAAAGTCTGGGAAAAATTTGAATTTCCTCTATTTTTGTGATTTCCCAGTTGCATGCCTGAATATGAGATGACCTGTCATTGATATTGTAGTATCGAAATGTATATTTTCAATTGATCAACAATTGATGAATAAGTTATATAAAAATGGATTATTTATCAATCTCTTTGCTAACAGTTGATTTGATTATCAATGTGGTCCAGATTGACTATTGAAAGATCATCTGATAATTGATCTTTTGAGGATTGATTATCAAATTGATAATCGATTGTTTAATTGGTTCAATTGATCAATCTGTCTTGGTTATGACCTGTTCTCTAGGCGGAGCAGCTGGCGTATCTAGTATCTTCTACCGTAGTACAGCCATATCTCTGTATTTTGCTTCCAAGATCCTCGAGGTAAGTGTATAATCTCGCATTAATTTACCAGTTGATCACAAAATGTTCAGTCTTCTGTCTTGGTGTTTCTTGCAGGCTTCAGGGCTGCAGTGCCCTTGTTCACTGCAGTAGAATCCTTGGGTTCATTAACCCTAACTCCCTAGGCCTTTTTGCTAGGATGTAGCCTCAATCCTGCAAAATCCTCCAATTGGCCTCATGGAAAAATAGCATATAGCCTCAATCCTGCAAATTCCTCCGGCTATGACTGTCAATAGGTTGAGGCAGAGGCAGTGACACCCTGGAGCAGTGCGGAGGATGTCAAGTATAATCAAGGACTAAATTTATGCACGGCTGAGCATAAACAACACAAGGTCCGGCCCAAGACCTTGACACAGTGCGTACTCCGAAATCAGCAACGCACTTTTGCCATGTAACCTCAATCCTGCAAATTCCTCCAATTTGCAAAAAGGATTTTGGAGGATTCAGGGCGGTTAGGGTTAATACATTATTTGAGCACAGGGTTATTTGGTCATTTTGTTTGGGGGGGGGGGGGTGACGGACAGACTGACCGATCAACTGACTGACCGACACCCGAGTGACTTATAGAAGCTCTATTGCCAGAGCTTAAAAATGCATGACTGTTTGGCTAGTAACCTGTCTTTCGCTAAGCAAATATCTTCTCAGCTTAGCAAATTTAGTAGTCATTTGATCACAAATCTGATTTGATCACAAATCTGATTTGATTTACACAATCTGATTTGATTTCTGTTTTCAGAACCTTATCGTCAAGGGTCAAGAGCGCGGCATCGTCCCAGTCATCCCCCGTGCCCCGTCCATCCTGTTCGCATTGTCGACGGCGACAGTTTTGCATGCAGTAAGTCACGTGCCCCATGTGTATGTCAGGACAGATTTATTTTTAGACGGATTTATTGTCTGCTTTTGCTGTTGGTGTCAGAAAATGACGATCATTATTCCAAGATTTCTGTTAATAACTCCTTTTTGTTCCACTCTCCGCAGGGAGCGTATGAACCACACAACATCCGGCCGGCCTACTGGAGCTTCCTGCTGAATCTAACAGGACAGAGGTGAGTGAAAAAAACTGGCACGCTGATCACCAGATATCAATGTCAAGTTCAAGTTACGCTTTGCTTTTTGTCAGACCATCCAAGACATTTCATTTTGGCAAAGGAACGTGCACTTTGTTTCAAATGAAACTTCAGTGGACTCCGTACGCAAACAGTGGAGGGCGCTTTTTTACCACTATTGAGAAGCCAGTGGACGGGCCGGGACACACTATGTGCGTGTATTGGTTCGTGCACGTATTGTGTGAAGTACGCACTGCTAATTGTATTCTAAATGTGCACAGACCATTTGCGTCTTCGCGTGAGCGTCAGGCACCGTCTTCGAGTTTGAAAGTACAGTTTCAAAATGCTCTTATTTTAACCAGAGTTAATTTCCTTGGCTGAAATTCGGACTTAATATCCCTTTTCGAAAACTCTACCATTTGCGACAGATCAACACACCTTGGAAATTCCTAGTTGTTGAGTAAAATCGATATATCTATTTCGTGAAAACCTTGTGGAGACGTTTTCATCTATAGAAATTGCTCTGTGGAGATGTATACAATCTTTTGTTCCCTATTGTGTGCATGTCTCCAGAGGACACGGTGTATCAGATCAGTACATCCAGTTCATATGTAAATCTTACTCCACTTAACGTCACACCATTTCATCCCACATTGTGAAACGGATTGTATGCATACCACATACATGTACACGTATTATATAACCCCACACAGGAACTATAGATGTTGGCGTAGGTTTAATAGAACAGTGCCACCTAGTGTCAGACATTGTCCAACCGACTAAACTACACTACGCTATTACACAGACTCATGCATCATCACGTGGCATTGTCATTGATTAGTGCGGTCACAGTTGTCCACAATTTTCTTCAGTGACTTTGTTGGCTTCAATTTTAAGAGTTGATTTGACGTTCACCGCACATTACAAGCACTATCCATGTATAATCAGTTCATTTCATAAAATACATCAATGAACGGCAAAACCAAATATAATATGTACATCTCTACCGGACACCAAACATTCCATCATTTGTCACCGTTTGCGTGGTTCACCGGTAGCACGTCGCATATTCCACATATTTGTCTTCAAAGCTGTCTCAGCAACGCATCGCAGATTCTTTCCCAAACTTGAAACTCATCCAGTCTCCACAAACGACTCATTACTAAAAATTTCAAAACAAACAATAACAAAACAACACCAAGAACAAACAACAACCAAATCTCGACAACTTGCCTTCCAGAGTTAGAATGCTGTCCAACAGTTTACGATCCAATCACTCCACCAAGGCCTTCTGAGAATTGTAAGTAACTTCCGGTAGAACCAGAACAGTCATTCAACTCCATCAACTGACCCGCCCATCCATTCATTTAAAGCACGCAAGTCATTCAGCAAGCCACCATGTGTATTTAGCTTTCTATGACTGTTCAAACCAAGTGTTTTTTTGTCTGTGACTTTGATTGTTTCCACTATTAATGCACTAATGCTGAATAGTCGTAGCCGTAGACAACAGTGCCTGTTTCAGACGCAACGACAAATTACATTTTGCAACAGCTATGGCCAAGTTCGGGCAAGGACCATTAGTCGACTAGTGGTTGATTTGTGACGTACCTTACACCTGCGCACTGATAGCAACGTGCGAACGTCTCTAGTCAAACGCTGGTCAAAATGTCATCGCAAACTTCTGGATCCTGGCTCTCTGCTAACGTTATGAATGCGCGCGGCTATTGGTTACCAGCGAAGCAACCAACCCCAGTAGGCTGGTTCCAAATAGTCGACTAGCGTAGTCAACCACCATCGACTAGACAGAGTTCAGGCAAACATTAGTTAACCATTGGTCAACTATAGTCGTTGCGCGAACTTGGCCTATGGTTAAGCCCAAGAAGAGAGAAAACAGGTATTGACAGATTTTGGTGTTGCCAATGGCATAACAATGTGTAGAGCATTGTGGTGAAATCTGATCAATTGATGTTCCTGAGCAAGAGGCTTTACCACAGTCGCTGCCTTCCTCATCCTCTGGAGACTCCTCTTGTAGCTTTGACGAGCAGCGTGATCAGTTGGACTGATCCATGGCATCCAATTGGTCAAGATTGAGCTGCTACCAATGGCCACAATGCACAACCTTAGTCTTGAGCTGTCTAGATTTAGATGTCAAGTGCTGTCCTTTTTACTGGATTTTTACTTGTGAATGAACAGTAATCAGCATCAAGAAACAGCCACCGCATATTTGTCCGCAGTTAAAATGTATTAGATTTTTGCGAAATCAGCTTGCGAATATTTTGCCTTGATGTCACAACTTCGCATCAATGCCAAGTTTGAACTTGCTATATAATTTCATCGAACTGCCTCTGTTTTTTGTTCAGGCTATTTTCATTTTTTCTTCTTTTTTTTCTCACTCCAGCAGTTTTGGCAAGATAAAGTGCAAAAAAAATATCTTGACGTCACAAATTTGCATTCATGCAGGGTTTCCACACCAAATGTGAACTGGTTTTTTTTTTTTTATCAAACAGCCAATATTTTTGTTAAGGTTTTTATAGGTTCTTTAATTTTTTCTTTTTCATTCTTTGTCCTCCGTACTCTCACAGGTACGGCGATATGAACCGCATGCTCATCGCTCACCTGGGCACGGACTCCACCAGGATCTACCCTGATTGGCCCGTTTATCCGGACCTCTCCAAGCTCAAGCTAGTTGACAAAGACGGACTGTGCGTTCAGTCCTTGCAACCCAAGAAACTCTGATGTGACTTGTCGCCGACGGCAGAAATTGATTTTTTTTAATTATGTCTTCTCTCAAACAGAGGTCTCTAACCCTAACTCCTTGGCATGATTTACTAGGAGCCATACCCATCCTGGCAAATTCCAACACCATATGGGGAACTGCACACACATATTTCTGACTTTGATTCTGGAGGTGTGCCAACCCAATGTAAAAGACTGTCAGTTTAGGGGTACTGTACCCATTCTGACAGATTCCAACAAAACGTGCCATTTGGGTTTGATGGGTTGAGTTCTGTTATAACTTAATGTATGCAAAGAATGTTCCATATCGTCTTTTTTTTTAAATTATGTTCAATGCAATCTATATGAAAACATTTTGGGTCATTTTAAAACAAGTTTTTCAATAGATAATTGACTTACCATTTTATTTTGGTTGTTACATTTCCACAGACAATGTGATCTTTTATTTATAAAAAAAGATTTTGATCCTTATTTTAGAAATAGCCCTGGGGGGGGGGGGGGGGGTGGTCTTCAAACACACACTTTTGGTGGGAAAGGGAAAACAAAATCTATTTAAAAGATCGTCCGAGAGAAAGCTTTGGAAAGAATTAAACGAGATAATGTTCTTGCCCAATTAATCTTTCAGCCACAAAGGAATGATGAGAAAAGATATGGTGATGTGTGCTCAATTGTAAAATTATAAAACTGACTTTTATACTAATGGAAGATTTTTGACTTGCACAAAGAAAGCTTTTTGCCAAACCGTTTGTATACAACTGGTATTAGGCTAATGTTTTTATAACTTATGTATAATAGTTCAACCAACTATCATGGTAATAGGAAAATTTCATACTCGTATGTTTAGAAATGTACATTTCTATCAGATGAACTCTTAAATATCTCTTAAATATTTAACACTTAAATCACAACGAGTTCTCTGTCCCTTGTCACTCACTAGGAGCAAAAAGTGATTATTGGAAGACATTTTCGAAAATTGACACTGAAATCAAGTGTGATATTGGCTCATTTGACCATCACATCAAGACATTTCATTGCTTTAATTTTAAGGTAACTGTAATCGTGGTTATATTTTTGTGTGTGTTGATTAAGAGGGGAGGTCACAGTAATATTTCAATGCCTATTGAATATTTAAGAGTTTAATGTTTTCATCAATACAGATCAATGCAATTTATTCATAATGTTTATTTTTCTTCTGTGATTCAATAAAAACAAATTTGGTGGTGGCTTGTGCAACCTGGGGCCAATTTCAAGGAAACTGGCTAAGCATGGAAAATATTTGCTTAGCAAAAATAGGTTACCGGTGAAAATGTCTTGCCGGCAATGTCTATTGCTGGTGACTGGTGCTCCGCTGATTTTTGCTTAGCGCATAAATTTGCTAAGCAGTATTTTTTTCCTGCTAAGCGGATACTTGAAATTGGGTAAGAGTAAAATGAACTGGAAGAGGCTGATGTTTGGGACTGATGAGGGTGATCAATTATTTGCCTCTCAAAAAACTAGGGTTGGTTTAAGCTTTGTCTCTGGTGTTGTATGAAATTTAGACTCTGTGAAATACGGACTCCTTGGTTGAATTCAGGCATGCAGCTTGTCCTCCGATCCGCTGATTTCCTCGTTTTTTACTTCTCATGAATGCCATTACAAATTGAAAAACACTACAAGGTCTTGTGTGGTTTGGAATTTCCCCTCTTTTTTTAATTGCAAGTTGCATGCCTGTGTATTGGCATGCCTTACTGCAGATAAAATTTAGGACAGAGACAGGACATGTGTGAGGGTTAAGAGTCCACATGAGGTAAAAGAGTCCAGATTTCACGTTGGTCTAAATTCCATACGACACCGGCTTTTATTTGGCCTTGTCTTTGACTCCAGATTCATTGTTCAAAACTTTTAAAATTATTTTTTTTATTGTGGAAAAAAGATTGTGAATAAAAGATGGAATGCCAACATAATTTTTTTTTTGTCTTCAGAAAGTCATGTGTTGAGTTTTATCAGATTCCCCATTTTCTTCTTAGTTTGGGGGAGAGCTTTTTTGATAATTTTTAACTTTTGGATTGATTATTGACTCAGTCTTTTTCTCAACTGGACATTGTTTGGGGAGGGGAAGCCTACCCTTTTTTTGGGGGGGGGGGTTGGAAATCCTAGATTTGTTTTGTCAATATGTACATTTTCAGTAGCAGAGCCACTGTTTTTCTATTACTGGTTAATTATACCTCCAACCATGCGCCAACTCAAAACTGGCCTAGCGCCAACTCAAAACTGGCCTAGCATTTGGTACATCATTTTACATCGAATATATCTACTTTTCAGAAAAATGAGCTGATATTAATTTTTTTTTTTCATTTTAATAGTTCAGCTGTCGCTGGAAGTAAAAAAAAAAAATGAGAATTGATATAAAAGAAAGAATTGAGAATTACAAATTCAAAATTGATAAACATTTCGCGCAATATTTTTGGAATAGCGCCCTCTATCCTACGTTGGTTTGTGTTTCATTCAACAAGATGGCGGCTTTCTTGAGCGAGTTGGAGCACGCGGCACGAGTGATTATGGTAAGAAAATCACGGGTTAGGGCAGAGATGTTTAAGTTTAGCCGCGAGATAAATAAGCGAAATATAAAGTAGAGCCCTTGTGTGAATTTTGAGGTCTGTGGTGTGTTTAATTATTGTGGTTGTGATTTTATTTATGTGTTTACATTTCGCAATAACATTAATAAAATAATACCAATTCATTTACATGGAGTTTTATTCTCCATCATCCATGTCTCTCGGCTAGCGGCTGCTGGGTTGGAAATGGTACGGCAGAAGGTCATGACTCATGGGTAGGGGTTTGGAGGGATTAGTGCGGCTCTTTATTATCTTTAATAGTTATATCGGAAAGAATGTTGCAACCTGATAGCTGGAGTTACCCAGCCCTGAGTTTTATCATTGGGTTGTCTATAAGGGCTGGAGCGAATTTTTCTCGTAACTTGTAGTATTTGCAAAAAAATTTGGAAAATGTTCAATTTTGTCCCCGTTACACACTAATTGCAACTGCAACTCACCCCAAACTTGCCTGGAATAACCATTACACAGGTCCTTGAAGTAAAAAACGATCCACGATGAAGATTCAGCCTACAATTGCAGTGAAAACAGGAGGAATAACCGCTAACCTGACAACCTTTCAGGCATGGCCAGGACTGCTATTGGTTTGTGCACAAAAAAAATTGTGTACAATGAATGGCGGTCGATTAACAGGCACAGAGAGCGATCGCTGTCAACTACTCGTTTTGCCGGCTGCGCTGGCGTTGGCGCGTGACGTCACGCGGAAGCGTAACACCCGATGACTGTTTCATGCACTATTGGTTGCGGTTCCAGTACCAAAGCTGTGATGCGAGTGGTAAACCTTATACTAGTGCATGAAACAGTCATCGGGTGTTACGCTTCCGCGTGACGTCACGCGCCAACGCCAGCGCAGCCGGCAAAAACGAGTAGTTGACAGCGATCGCTCTCTGTGCCTGTTAATCGACCGCCATTCATTGTACACAATTTTTTTTGTGCACAAACCAATAGCAGTCCTGGCCATGCCTGAAAGGTTGTCAGGTTAGCGGTTATTCCTCCTGTTTTCACTGCAATTGTAGGCTGAATCTTCATCGTGGATCGTTTTTTACTTCAAGGACCTGTGTAATGGTTATTCCAGGCAAGTTTGGGGTGAGTTGCAGTTGCAATTAGTGTGTAACGGGGACAAAATTGAACATTTTCCAAATTTTTTTGCAAATACTACAAGTTACGAGAAAAATTCGCTCCAGCCCTTATAGACAACCCAATGATAAAACTCAGGGCTGGGTAACTCCAGCTAGCAACCTGACACTTGTGACAGCATTGCATTTGTTGAGTGACTGACACCACTTTTTTTGTTCATCAATCATCTCAATAAAGACTCGTACTCAGTCAATGAGTCAGTAGGCCTAATTGCAGAAATGTTGAAAAGACGTGAATCTGAGACTGAGAAATATTTCCAGTTTTGTTAAGAAATAACTATGAGACGGGTCTGAAAAATTCCAAGTGTTTTCTCAGTCAATGCTTCAATATTTTCCCTGCTAAATTTGACCTTTTACATATTTAAGGACATGTTTTAACTTTCTGAAATACTAGAGATGTCCACGTATGGAATTCTGCCCGAAGAGGAAGCTAGCTGGAAACAAGTTTTCTCAAATGCATTGGCTATTTTTACGGAAGCCGTAACGCGTTTTTCCCTGGCTTTAGTTAGAGAAATGGAACGTAATATTGTAAATGTAATTGAGGTTTTCAATTCCTACTGCGATTGCGATTGAAGCAATTCAAGGTAGTTCAAAAATGTTCGTTTTGAATGCTAAAGGTGCTGAGTTCGAAATCCTAAAAAATTGCCCAATTATTGCTCCTACTTTTTAGTGGAGTAGAACTAATTTTTCTTTCGAATTGATTGCGGTAATGGAATTTTTTTAAAGGAAAATAAAGTCTCTGAACCTTTTCAGTTGGCAACTGACATATATGCAAGTACCGTAGTAACGATCGACTTCTATAAAACTTGCCACAACCTTTCTCCAATTTAAAGGGAGTAAACAGCATACATAAAAACAAAAACTACCAAATTATTATGAAATAGGCCTACCTTACTGGACTGTTATGCGCCTATCAAGAGTTTCCTGATTCTTTTTTTTTTCAACATCTACAAGCACAAAACGTCAAACAAGTCAGTGTAACAATATTTGCTATAAAATCCTTATCCCCCCCAAAAAATCCACCCATTTCTGAAAATTACAGCAAAAGCAAATGTTGTATATTCCCTTTAAGATACTTCTGTAGTTTGCTTTCAATATTATTTTGCTCGTGCATTATTTAAGGTTTTTAATCTACAAATTGTTTCCTTGTTTCAGTTTTAAACACATTTTAGTAACCTTTCTCCCTCCCTTTTTTTTTGTCTCTTTAGGCCCCGCCCTCTGTGGTGAGCCATGAACAGCGTCAGTCTGCAGAACAAGTCATCATGGCATTCAGGAAGTCTAAAACCCCCTTTGCGGCCTGCCGACACATTCTAGGTGGGTATTTGAATCTTGAGACAGCGACAAAACTTTCTTGGTCTGTGGCTGTTGGCTGCGGCCACTGTAGAATCTTTTTATTGGCTGAGGGCGGAAAAAAACTGAACAAAGAAATGACTGGAGTGAGATTTGAACAAGCAGATTCCAGATTGCTGTTCCAGTGCTCTTCTAACTGAGCTATCCATCCCTATGTTAGCGTTCCCCCGTTTTATCAATGTCTTTGTTCAAGGGGTGCTAGTCAGAAGCCATACACCTGTTTGCCGTGTAGCCAGGGATCACGCCCACAGTCACGATGCATGCAACATTAGCAATGCTGCAAACTTTAGAGATGGCAGTTTCACCTTTTCTCACATTTTCTCGCATATGTTCACCCTTTCCGTAATTTTCTCATTCCCTCACATATTCTGGTCATTCCTTACATTTCTCAAATTTTCACATATATTCTCACATTTTCTCACCATTTCTCACATTTTCTCACATATTTTCACCCTTTCGTAATTTTCTCATTCCCACACATGTTCTTGTCATTCCTTACATTTCTCAATTTATCACACATATTCTCACATTTTCTCACTTTTTATTTTCGCCCTTTCCATAAATTTCTCATTCTCTCACATATTCTAGTTATTCCTCACAGTTCTCCCAGTTTCACACAAATTCTCACATTTTCTCACCATTTCTCAAATTTTCTCACTTATTTTCACCCGTTCCATAAATTTCTCATTCTCACACATATTCTAGTTATTCCTCACAGTTCTCCCAGTTTCACACAAATTCTCACCTTTTCTCACAATTTTTCGCATTTTCTCACAGTTTCACACAAATTCTCACCATTTCTCACATTTTCTCGCATTTTCTCCCGTTCTCTCATTCTGTCCGGCAGAGCACAGTAAGGCAGATTATGTCCTTTTCCAGGCAGCTTCCACCATCAAGGAAGCGGCCGTCCGGGAATGGATTCTCCTTGGCAAGAAAGAGATTGAATCTATGCAGAGTTTCCTCCTCAAGTATGTCATGCAGAACACAAAGTAAGTACGAGCAGACAAATGGATTTCTATATCACCAGCTGAAGTCACTAGGGTGCCATGTTGGGAGGCCCAAATGTTTACATTACTGTATGCACATTACAAATTTGAGTGAACACTCATAACACAAATCTCTATATTATTGGATAGCATGTCAAGTTTACCCACTGAAGTCACTGGGATGCCATCTTGGGAGCCCAAAAGCATTACAAATCTGTGCAATGCTCTGCATGTACATCGTTTGATTTTGCTGAGCAAAAATAACTTTTATAATACAAGCTATTTTCTATTGTCTGCCAGCTCCCTTTGAGTTTTACAGAAACATCAAGTCAGTAGTGTTAAACCAAAGTTATTTGCATTTGGTTTCAAATATTAAATGTTTCAATATTATTCTGGATTTCCATAAAAAGCCTAAGCTGGAAATGAAGGCGAGATTTGAAAAATGGCCCTCAGTAACCTGGCTACCATGAACTTGTACATAAAAAAAAAAATTGAAAAAAAAGTGGAACTCCCAGTGGCATGCTCCCCTGCTGCACATAGTGTGTCCACAGTAGGCAGTGATCAGGGATCCAGACTTGGCAACTACTAGGAGACAATTGATGCCAGACTGCACTGCCTTCCTCCCCCAGCCAACCCCCCCCCCCCCCCCTCCTGTCTGGCGAAAACTAGAACAGGAATTGAACTTTTTTTCCCGTGGGAATTGTGGCCTACATTAAACCGATTATGACTTGGTTCTTTTAATTTGTTATGTGGCTAGAACTCAGACTAAGGAATTTTTTTTTCTATTGTGTTCTGTCAGACACATCCATAAGTTGCTTGTCATTTTGAAAGAACTAAATTTACAACAGAAAAAACAAAAAACCAAAAAAGAAAAGAAAAAGTTTCCCAAAAAATTACTTTCAAATTAAATTTAAATCAGAAGGATATTAAGAGAAACAACATATTAAAAATTAGCCCCCAAAAAGTGAACATTTTGTGGGATCAATTCTTAACAAATTGACATTTTTAATGAATGGGGTAGACTTTCTTAAAAGCTTTTTTACTTAGCAAAAATAACTGATTTAATCAAATGATAATTATCACAGTTCATTTTTTGATATAAAACAATAATTTAGTGATGTGCCACTGCGAAAATGAAACAGGCACAATTTTCAGCTGATAAAAATATTCACAAATAAACTTCAACTACATGGATATTATACAAAACTCAATTTTTTCCTGCACTTAGATATTTTAACTTTTTAAGTGAAACTCAAAGTAATTTAAAATGTTTTGGAAAGCATGTTTCGGCAGTCTGCCACTTTTTGCCCTTTCTCACATTGCTGTTAGCGGTGTTCGGGCAGACTCCCACAAGGCACTTGGCCATTGTTATCCAATCAAAATCCAGGAAGTGATTCATGCTACGTGCACATTGATGTCGGTTCTTGTCAGGGATGAAAAAAAAAGGAGACAAAACGAAAGAAAGAGAGAGGCAGAAGAAGAAAGAAATAGCAATGAGGCACTAGCCTACGTGCACATGGATGTGCAATGTCATTCGGGCACTTCATGAACATACAATGCCTACATTGTGGTACGTGCTCATCAATTCATCATGTTCACAATGTTCTGCCCTGTCTAAAGTTTGGTGATCGGCAAAGTTGTTTTTCATCTGCTAGTATTGATAACGTTCAGCATTTGATTTCTGAAAGTTTTAGACTTTTGGCCCTGAGACTTGCATTATGGATTGATAAATCAATGTAAAGGTAGGTTTTTGGTCAGTTTTAGGTACTTTTATATTTACTTTAAAGCTACAGTCCATCATTTGTAATTTGTGCATTTTGTTCGTTTGAAGCAACAAAAGAGTTCAAAATCTAATGAAGGATACTGAGCAACTAAGCTGATGAAGTTTCAGCTAAGCTTCAGCTGTACATTCCAAGAAAAACAGCATTCTAAGATCTCAATTTCAAAAGAAAAGTTACTGAATCATGTTTTGAATTGTTTTGAATTGCAGCTATACGCGACGTCGCGCACTGATCCGACGAATTATAACAACCGCGCGCGCGTGTGCGTCGTTCCAATACTTGTGCGCGCTGCGCTGAATAACAAAACGAACTACTAATTTAAATTTTCCTACGGTGCTTCTTAAGAATCACCGTTGGAAATGCCTTCTTTCGTTGATTACTTCAAAATGACGGCTTCCCAGAAAGAATAATTTCACAGGGAGTTTAGTCCCCTTACTATCTTTCAACCAAGTATGTTTTTCAACAATAATTACGCCAGTTACTTTTCGGATGGCTGCAAATGATGGACTATAGCTTTAAAAAAAATTGTCTTGTTTTTTGTGGGATTTTTTTTTATTGGTTTATATTTATTTTATTTTTTTTATGGTACAAGAGTTTGGATGTGGCTAATATATCTTAAGAAATATTTGATATTTGTGTATGTTCTCTGTTCTGATTTTTGTTATCTTTCTCTCGTTTTTTATTCAGACTCCAGAACTACGTCCGTGAGCAGATTCTTCAAGCCGTGGCCGTCATCTTCAAGCGGGGCACCATGGACATGAAGGATACCGGGCGGGATGCGCTCTTTGCAGACGTGTCGCAGATGATTGCGAGTGGCCAACCGCAGCTGGTAAGAACGAAAACACAATACTCTAATGCTTTTCTAAATTCAAGATTTAAAGGCGCTTAGGAAAGTTGATAATTCTCAGGAAATTGAACTATTGATTTTAATGAGATAAACCTTCATACTCAAAGCGAAGAAAGGACTAGTACTGGATACTGTGTGGGCTCAATTTGTACAATTGGACGATATTTGTTAAAGGCCAATCAAATTAGGTTTTGCCCTTCACCGACGTTTTAAACAAGTGGTAAGACATCTGCACGAGAAAGCAGGAGGTCGTGGGTTCGAGTCCCACCCGAGTGATTTTTTCCAACTTTCATTCGGGAGATAACACACTGAGTATAGAGTGTTTAAAACGTCGGTGAAGGGCAAAACCTAATTTGGTTTATATCACCCCGACGCAAAATTCCATCTTATAATTTGTTAAAGGCATTTAGGATCATTTGCATTTTATTCTAAAATTAACCCACCAAATTATTTTCAAAAAGCTTACTTGGATTGAAAATCGTAATGGTACTAAACACCCCGTGAAATTGTTCAATTTGGCTTGCTGTCATTTAAAAGAAATCAAGAAATGTAAGTGATTTCCAAAGATTAGTCAAATGACTGATTTTGGAAATAAAAGATTGCTGTAGACGCAATCGTGTTTCATGATCAAAGGGGTTATGCATGATTTATCACTGTTTTCTGGACAAGTGTAATATCCACTGAGCTGAAACTTCAACAGGTTATTTTTTTTTGGGGTGTTTGAGCGTTGTTGCATGTGTCTTTCTTGCAGCAACTGATGGCATGTTCTATGCTGACAGCGCTACTCAATGAGTACTCTAGCTCCAGCCGCACCAGCGCCATCGGACTTAGCTGGGAGTTTCACAATGACTGCAAACGGCTCTTTGAGGTATGGACAATTGTAACAATGACAGAAATGGGATGGAGAATTGGGAATTTTAATTCTGAATGAAACCTGTCCATCCGTATACTGGCCCTAACCGCCCTGCCTGTTACTTCTTGAACTGCCCCAAACTGTCCTGCCTGTTACTCCCTACGCTGCCTCAAACCACCCTGCCTGTTACTCCCTGTACTGCCCCAAACTGCCCTGCCTGTTACTCCCTGTACTGCCCCAAACCACCCTGCCTGTTACTCCCTGTACTGTCCCAAACTGCCCTGCCTGTTACTCCCTGTACTGCCCCAAACCGCCCTGCCTGTTACTCCCTGCACTGCCCCAAACCACCCTGCCTGTTACTCCCTGCACTGCCCCAAACCACCCTGCCTGTTACTCCCTGTACTGCCCCAAACCACCCTGCCTGTTACTCCCTGTACTGCCCCAAACCACCCTGCCTGTTACTCCCTGTACTGCCCCAAACCACCCTGCCTGTTACTCCCTGTAATGCCCCAAACCACCCTGCCTGTTACTCCCTGTACTGCCCCAAACCACCCTGCCTGTTACTTCCTGTACTGCCCCAAACCACCCTGCCTGTTACTCCCTGTACTACCCCAAACCACCCTGCCTGTTACTCCCTGTACTGCCCCAAACCACCCTGCCTGTTACTCCCTGTAATGCCCCAAACCACCCTGCCTGTTACTCCCTGTACTGCCCCAAACCACCCTGCCTGTTACTTCCTGTACTGCCCCAAACCACCCTGCCTGTTACTCCCTGTACTACCCCAAACCACCCTGCCTGTTACTCCCTGTACTGCCCCAAACCACCCTGCCTGTTAATCCCTGTACTGCCCCAAACCACCCTGCCTGTTAATCCCTGTACTGCCCCAAACCACCCTGCCTGTTACTCCCTGTACTGCCCCAAACCGCCCTGCCTGTTACTCCCTGTACCATCCCAAACCTGCCTATTCTAAAACTTCAGGTTTTTTTTTTAATAATATATTATGGTTTGTATTAGTCAAAAGTGCCAGCCAGCCAGTCAGTCATTGAGATAGGTATAAGCTTTGGATCATGAAGCTTTAAACATGGATTTCCATGCTTCACCCCTTAGGTCAACGACCTGAAGCGAGTCTTCCTGTTCGCCGTTCAAGTCCTGCACCAGTTTGAGTCCAACCATGCCGCCATGGGCCAGGAGGCTACCACCGTCTGCAGCCGCTTCTTAGCCATAGCTGCCCAGGTTCTCAGCTGGGACTTCATCCTGGTCAGGCATATCCTTTTAGATTTATAAGCCAAGTCGCTGTTAGTACTCGTAGAGTCTGACTTGAGCCTCAAAATCTCTCGCAGTTGGTTTAGAGTCTTAGCCATAACCGCTCAGGTTCTAAGTTGGGACTTCATCCTCATCCTGGTCAGGCATATCCTTGTGCATAGGTTTTTAAGCCGAGTTGCAGCTGGTTGCTTTTAGTGCCTGTATTGAGTAAATTGAGTAAAGAGTCATGTTCACAATTGTTGGCATATATGCGGGTTTATAGCTTGTGACTAGCGTCTCTTAAACAAAGACGTTGACAACAATTGGGAACCGCCAACATAGGGCTGGATAGCTCAGTTGGTAGAGCATCGGAACGGCAATCTGGAGGTTGCAGGTTCAAACCATGTATGGATTGTAGCCTGGTGGTAATGTTTTGTGACTCATGATCAGAGGGTCAGGGGTTCGAATCGAGCTGCTGGCCAAATGTTGTGTCCTTGGGCAAGCCACTTCACCCCCACTTGCCTCTCTCCACCCAGGAGTATAAATGGGTACCATCATTAGCTGGGGAGTAACCTGCGATGGACTAGCATCCCATCCAGGGGGAATAGAAATATTCTCAGTCGTTTCATGCAGCTGAAACCGGAGATAAACGCAGGTTTAATAGGCCACATTGGATAGTAACAGACTTTACTGCCAACATAGAGCTTGATAGCTCAGTTGGTAGAGCACTGGAACAGCAATCCGGAGGTCGCAGGTTCAAACCCCGCTCCAGTCAATTTCTTTATTCAACTTTAAAATGGTTGTAATGCACCTAGTTAGTTTCCCTATGTTTCTTTTTTTTTTTTTTTTTTGAATGTGAGAGTTACCTTACCTGTAGCCTACAATCCATTAGAGACATCGGCGATTGTCGTGTAGGGGAAACAAAACTACCGTAGGCCCACTGATCATTTAATTATTAGTAGTCCTTCGTTTGTTTCATGCCATTCTCCTTAACTCTGAGCAACACCACCTAGAAGGAGGGTGGGTATCTTTGAGTCCATACAGACCCCGCCCCTCAAACCCGACGCCAACTGGAAGGACGTCCTGCTGGATAAGGGATTGCTGGAGTTATTCTTTAAGGTAAGAGTAAATCTCCTCTTGCTCATGATTTATACATAAGGGGAGAAGGGAGGTCATCACTTGTCAACAAGTTGCCTGTGTATTATCAGTATCTTAGTTGCTTTGCCGCAACCACCTCTTGACTTCCCAGCAGTAGGTCTTCCAAAATCCTCCTAAATCACACATAGCGCTTCACTTCTAGGGCCCCAAACCCCAAGTATAAGTAGCTGGGTTCTACGTTCTTCAGTGCTGCAAAATTATCCCCCCAAAATTTCTTGGTGAATTTTGTAGGATCTCAGAGGGTGAGGGTTTAGAAATTACCCGTGTTCTTTACCTAGTAATTTTTTTCTGGGTTTTTTTGTGTCAACATTCTTATTCCAACAATTCCTTGTGAAACAGGATTAATTTTTTTCTCCATATTTTTTTATTTTACTTCTAGATATTTTTCTTTGTCCAAAAAACAAGATCCCTTTTAAATATCGTTTTCAAAAAAATAAATCTGAAGTTTCTGGAGATCAATATACCAGATATCCCTATTTCTTTTCCTCACCCACCCTAAATGTGTCTCTTCATGAAAGAGTATTTTTATTTGTTTGTGTACAAGCAATCTTATTTATAGTTCCTTGATGTGAAACAAGAATAATTGTTTCCATATTTTATTTTTGAATTATTTTTTGTTTTTAGATAATTTACTTTGCAGACAAACTAAAAGATCCTTTTTTTCCAAAAAAATCTGACTTACTGGAAAATAAACATGCTGGGGTGAACATATTTCTCATGGAATTCATGTTTATAAAGTGCTTGGAACCCTGCGGAATAATTTTTTTTTACTATGTTTCCCCCGCAGCTTCACGGCAAAGTCCGACAGAGCGGGGAGATGTGTCACCACGCCTTACAGTGCCTGGCCCAGCTGGCATCTCTCGGTGGACCAGTCCTAAGCTCGGACAAGATCACCGCGGAGTACCTGTCCCATTACATCCAGTGCCTGCTACAGATGCTGAACAGGTGGGTGGGCACCAGTGAAAACTGGGTCTCATTAATAGGCATATTTTTGACCGCATGGGGACGCTGTAATGATGCGATTTTTGAGTTACAAATTGTCAGAAGAGTGTATTTATTGAAGCAATTCATTCATTCATTTCATTCGTATATATTTACACTTGATCATTTTGAAAAGAAATGGTTCAGACAATAATTTAGATAAACGGATAAGATTAAGCAGTGGGCTTCTCCAAAAAGCAAGGTTGTCAAATAGTATTAGCTTCACTCTAAACTAAAAAAATCTTCTCTTGTGGCTTTTTCGCAAAACTTCATGGAAGAGCTATATTTTTGGGGTCTGATTCGTTCTTTTCCCCTTTGTTTTTGGTACTTCTTATTCGTCCCCCAAATCCAAGAATCTTGTGTACATTTTTCTAAACAACATTTCGGGCATTTAAAAGACTCCGATCCTAATCAAACATGGCACAGGCATAGACCATATAGTCTATCCCTCCCTATCTGGCTGGCAAATTCAAAAAAGCCGTCACAGCAGTCAAAATCAATCAAGTGACTGTTTTAAACAGATTAGTGCTCCCTGTCTCCATAAAGCAGGATTGACTGGCTGTGACCATTTACTCAACTTGATAGAACTATGCTTTGACTGTAGGAGATTGATAAGCCAGCTGTGCCAACCAGTCACCTGCTTTTGTCTGTTGATGGAATTTGACTGTTGGTGACTAGCCCATGTATAAGTTATGGGAGGGGAAGTGGATTGAATTTCTAACTATCTGTGACTTATCAAACAGTAGGAGCATTCTAAAGATGTGTAGTGAGTCATGTGATGTCATCTTAAAGGTACATTTTTCAAAGTCCTACATCGAGAGAAGTACACACATAGATTTCTAGTTTTCAGTTTTGTTTTTCTCTCTAAATCCCATGGATCCAGTTCTGTCCTACAAGACCATGAAGCCATCGGCATAGCCGCTATCTTCAACGGTTTGGTCACCAGATTCCCCCCATCTGCCCTGCTGGCCATCCCGGCCGATCTCTTGACGTCATTCATCAGCTGCCTGTCCTCCCTGACGTGTGTCTTCGGAAGAAAATCTGCATTGGAAGAAGCCGTGAGTGCAAATTTTTCCTATTTTATATGGATTAATTGTGAAATTGATTTTTTTGGGGGGGGGGGGGGGAGGTGAGCTGCGAAGATGACCCCTACACCCTGGCACATCATCTTGATCCCCTCCCAACAACCCCCTTCCGTAACCATACCTTCAGCTTCCTTCCCCCTTTCGGCAGTGAGCCATGGCGGCTTTGCCGTTCTAGTTAAAATAATTTGCAGTTGACAAGCGAGGGCGCTGTTTATACTGCTGTAGATAGCAGTAATGGGAGTCTTTTGAGGCAGCAAACGGTCCTTTGCCATTCTAGTTTAACCATACTAAATTATCTTAGAATTCAACATTTTCTCAAGTGGAAAGTGGACATTTTGGTAACCAAAATAGAAAATCATCAGCTAAAAATTTTGGATCCCCGTCTGGAAACAAAATCCTGCTTGTTCCCCTTTGGAGCTCGTGGAGACAACGATTTTTCATTTGAATCTGTCTGCAGAACTCTATAAAATAATTTGCAGTTGACAAGCGAGGGCGCTGTTCCATATTACTGTAGATTGCATTTGTTGTGCTTCATGTAATTGTGTGGCCTACCTGTATCTCCAAAATGCTTGTACACTTAAAAACCGACAATGCGTTTACCAGGTGATGTAACCCCACAAAATACATTATAATACAATGTTTCTGTTTCTTGTTTCTCATATAATCAACATTGTATTTCATTCAACAATTCCCCAAAGAATGACCATTACTGCAAAAAAGTACTTGTTGGACTATTTTCACATCGAAAAGTGACAGTGACTTAAATTTGTTATATTTGGTTGTGAGTCCACTAAATTTGTCAAAACGGAAAAGACCAGAGCTCCTTTTTCTTATTGAACCTCTATAAAAATATAACCTTTTCCTTCTGATATGAGTAAAAAAGAGATGACATTTTTTCTTTGCTTTGGTGAACTCTCGATGAGCCTATCGTCGCCGGAATTTGGTCTCCTCCATATTCCAATCCTCGCCTCTTTCTATCAAAAACGCAGTCTGTACTTGCACTTGTCTGGATGAGGCATTTGCGAAAGCCCCGAATAGATTTTCCCTGATAGGGAACAGATGATAAGAACAGGCTTCGCAATGCCCGGCATCCCAGTAATTCTCCAATTTTTTTTTTCTTCTCGGGGACGACCCCAGAAAAACGTCAGAAGCCCCTTAACATCCCAGGTGGAAAGGATTTAAACCAGTGGAGTTCACTCGCCAAGTTTACAAGTTCGAATTCGATTACTTCTACTTTTTTTTTTTCCTTCTTTTTTTTTTACGGACAGAAGGTTGTAAATCACGACGAAATGGAATTGCAATTTGGTTGGGACTTTCATCTCGACTAATAGAATGCTGTAAATTTGTCGTTCAAGTCGTCACTTTTTATTTATATCTTTTTTTTTTGGTCGGCTTCTAGCGCTTGCCGGTAAAAAAAAAGAGTTTTTTGTGTGTGCATTTGTAGTCCAACTGAAGCGAGGTTTGGTTTTAATAAATATTTATATGTCGATGATGTGATTTATATTGGTTGACCTCTGGGTAGGTTTTTGTTGATGCGAAGTACTTGTCACCTTTCAACAGAAATTGCACAGCATTTTATCTGTTTCTGGGGTTATATTACCCAAACTTCTGTAGCCTTTCGAAATCCTTCGGTCTTCCAAAATCCTCACACATTGTTTGTGATTCGACTTTTAGGGCCCAAACCCCACAAGTAAAGTGTTAGAAGCTGGGTTCTACGTTCTTCAATCCTGCAAAATCCTCCCCCAAAACTTCTCATTGGATTTTTTGTGTGGGATCTTCGAGGGTAAGGGTTTAAGATATTATGGCACCAATATTTTTTATCTAGTAATTTTTTGTGTGGGTTTTTGCGGCGTAAGCAACCTTATTTCAATAATTCCTTGTAAAATAGGATTAATTTGTTTCCATGTTATTTTTGTTTTTTTGTTTTAACATTTAGATAATTAACTTTGTGAAAAAACCAAAAGTTCCTTTGTCGTTTTAAAATATCAGTTTCTAAACATAAAAGATAAACTCTCCCGTACTGTTTTTCAACATAAAACAGAATGTGTTTGGTTTTGGGCAATTCTGTAAAATCCAATTCACTGCATATGTCCGACCACATGATGTTCATGTACAAGGTCGTTAAGGTGGTGGTGCCTTGGTTTGGTCTGTAATTGTTTTTTTACTCTTTAGATGTCATATTATTAGTGATGTATCACATTCACTCTTCTAAAAGCAGCTTATTTAAAGTGTACCTCTGACATACATGTATGTACGTCCAAATTTAGGGAATTGCCCTTTATAACACAGTCATTACATTAAAAATAACTTCTTAAGTTCTCTCATAAAAGTGACCATCTGGACTGACAAAGTAAACTTTATAGGCTTTAAGTTAGATCAGAATACAGCACAGGAAATTTAATAAGACATCAATTATCAATTTCTCTGCAGATTTAGTTTTTTTCTGTAAAGACAGCCCCAGTTGCATCACATATGTTGAATGATTTAGCCTTGGAGATCAATTGGTCCGGGTCAAAGTGTTACCAAGTCATGGCCTTTTCGTCTTCTTGGCAACTGACCAAGATAAGAAATTGAATTGTGGGTGGAGGGGGGGGGGGGACCCGAAGGGTAGTGGGATTTCAATCAATATTAATTTGGCACCAGGGCATTGATGGAAAGGTTGTGGCAGTTCAAACTTTGCACTGACCCAGAAGGTCAGTGGGATTTAGTTTCCATTATTGCCAAATCTTAGCTGTATTGTGGGGAAGGATTGCCAGTTAAAATTCCTGTTTTTTCCCCCCAAGTTGTGGACTTTAACGAGCATGCCATCTTGTGCAAATGAGACATGCATTTTCCTGTGAATGTAGAACTAGTTGATATTACGTGCAGCTGGATGAACCAACAAAGAGATTTTTTGAAAGTTAATAAGATTGATGGTGTACATTAGATGCAGACGTGGACGATGGTTTCCACATTTAGTCAAAATTTCTCAGAAATACAAGCTCACACCCCTGTTCATACCGGTATTTTTTCCCCACAAACCCCAAGTTGGTACCATTTTTATGTGATATTAGGCGCACTGTACACAAAGTACAATGAAAAATCTCATTTTGGAAAGAAAAAAAAAAGATCCCTCCATCTTCTTGGTTTATTCCTGTTTCATCAACATTTCTCAGAAATACAAGCTCCCAGCCCTGTTCAGATTTTGTCCCCATAAACCCCAAGTTGGTGCAATTTTGACGTGATATTCAGCACATTATACACAAATTACAATGAAAAATCTCATTTAGGGGGGGAAAAAAATCCCTCCATCTTCTTGGTTTGTTCCTGTTTCATCCAAATTTCTCAGAAATACAAGCTCACAGCCCTGTTCAGACTTTTCCCCCACAAACCCCAAGTTGGTGCAATCTTGACGTGATATTCAGCACATTATGCACAAATTACAATGAAAAATCTCATTTAGGGAAGAAAAAAATCCCTCCATCTTCTTGGTTTATTCCTGTTTCATCCAAATTTCTCAGAAATACAAGCTCACAGCCCTATTCAGCAGAACATTTTGTTTTCACAAACCCCCAATTTGCACTGGCCACAAAGAGAATTTAAGGTCCTGTAAATCGTAATTTAGGGCCGGTTTAAATCTTGGCCTGCAACCTGAAGAAAAATGGACCACCACTGATTGTTTGGACAGCATTGTAAGTTATGACAGCGTCATAAAAAGACAGGAACACATAAACATTTGTTAATATTACTGGGCCTAGGGGAGGTGTAAGGCTTGTGTCCATGCTAGAGGAACAATGGCCAGGGTTGTTCCCATTCCTAATTGGTCAGGCTCCTCACCCTGGACGGCCTGCAAGGATTTTTTCAAAGGCAGCCTGGCTGAGTTGATGGACAACTTCTCCCGAGGTCAACTTTAGACACTGAATATTTTTTTAGGCAAGTGAAGTGATGTTCAGTTCTCTTTGGTTGAAGTGATGAATTTTGATAGTAATGGAGATTTGGTTTTCTTGAAACTGATAACAATTATATATTCAGCTTACAAACAGGATTCTGTATGTATTTTATTCTGATCTCGCCAATATTGGGCAACTGGAGAATATACAATTGTCATTACATTGAATGGAGTTGAAATCAAGCTGTAAATGTATTTATAAATAGACATTTTTTTTTAATGGATAGACAGAAATGATAAGTAAATTGCATACTGATTTGCAAACCGCTGTTTGTAAAAAATAACTTCCTCCTCACAAAAGTGAGCCTTGTTGAACTGTCAAAGTAAAACTTGAAAAAAATTCTCCTCATTTCTCAAGTGTTTGTTAAAGGATTTAATAAGATTCCCCATTTTTGAATTTCATTGAATTATTTGGAACTAACTGAATATCACTTCACAAAAATGTTGAACTTCCCCCTCCCCCCCAAAAAACCCCCCTCCCCCCCCAAAACCCCCCTCCCCCCCCAAACCCCCCCAAACCCCCCCCCAAACCCCACCCAAACCCCCCCCCCCCCCCACAAACCCCCCCCCACAAACCCCCCCACAAAAACCCCCCCCCCACAAACCCCCCCCCCCCCCCACAAAACCCCCCCCCCCCCCCCCCCCCACAAAATGCCAAGTTTTTTAAACTCAAGAAGCACACTTGTTTCATACAAGCAAGGTCAAGAAAACTTGGCCTTTTAAAAGATTCCCGCCCCTAGGTTTCAACACCCCGGATTTCCTGTCACAGCTCTGGAAAATGTCTCGCCTCCAGACCCCACTTGATCCCAGAAATAAAGGGGGACCCTTTCCAGCACCCTTCCACAAAAGAGCCCCTATTCTGTCTGGGTAGGCCTACTGTAGGCTAATCAAGGTTATACCTCTCCAATCAAGGGAACACAGCCTGGGTTTGATAAGGGTTATATTCTCTGGTGGTTCTTGGGTTTGTTTGAAGTCCTTAGGGTGAGAGGGTCTTCCAACCAAATATTTAGGTCAAGGAAAGTGTTATGTGTAAGAGTATACGGGT